CAACCAGACCGAGGACGTCAGGATGGAGAGCGACGACGAGAGCGACTCTCCCGACAGCATCGTGCCGGCCTCGTCGCCCGAGAGCGTCCTGGGCGAGGAGCTGCTGCGCTTCCCGCTGCTCAGCGAGGCCAAGCCGGAGCCGGAGGAGCGGGTGCTCTCGCCCATCATCCCCATCATCCCACGCGCCAGCATCCCAGGTAGGCTGCACTGGACCGGGAACAACGCGGCTCTGGGGGTGCTGGGGACATGCAGGGTCCGTGCAGGGTTGTGCAGGGGGAGCCCAGGGCTGTTTGGAGGTCGGGCCGGTAGGTTGGGTGTGAGGGGCTGTATGGACCATCCAGGAGGTTCCATTGGGGCGTCTGTGTTCCATGGGGACTGGGTAGGGCAAGGCTGGACGAGGAGGGTCCATGGAGTGCTAAGAATAAGGGTCTGTGGGACACGTGGGCTGGATCTAGCGCTGTGCTTGGCCCCTGGGTCAGGACCAGGCTGTTCTTGGAGTCTCCCGGTGGTGCTGGCAGTCCCCATGCCGGGCTTCCTCGCTGCGCTGGGAAGCAGGGAATTCCCAGCAGTGTCTCTGTGACGGATCCCATCGGCTCTGCACGTCTCTGACCCCTTTCTCCCCTGCTAGTGTTCCCTGAGACGAAGCCCTACGAGGCGGCGGAGCCCTCCGGAGCGCCTGCCGGGAAGGCGGGCACGGCGGGCCCGGGCGCCCCGTGGGAGAAGGCCAAGAGCAGCGAGGTCTCGGTCATGCTGACGGTGTCGGCGGCGGCCGCCAAGGTGAGCGGGGGGTGGCACAAGGCAGCGCGTGGCGCTGGGGACCCTGCGTGGCCGCAGGACCCGCCGTTCCTCACGGGTGCCACCTTCTTTCTCCCAGAACCTCAACGGGGTGATGGTGGCCATGGCCGAGCTGCTGAGCGTGAAGATCCCCAGCTCCTACGAGGTGCTGTTTCCAGACAGCCCCATGCGAGGGGCCACAGGGGAGGCCAAGAAGGTGGAGACGGACATGGCTGGTGAGCGTCCGCCCCGGCCCTCGCCCGGCCCCGCGGGCACCGCGCGCCCCGCGTTCCAGCCCGGCTCTCCCGCAGGGATGCTCGGCACGAAGGAGAAGGCGGCGCTGGCCGGGAAGGGGCCGGACAGCGGCTCCGAGTGGCTG